GGCGTTAACTTCCGTCTCCTCCTGTTCTGTCACTACGGGCAGAACCTTCGCCGACTCCACGGCGGAATCCCTACGCGCTCTGGCGTTAACTTCCGTCTCCTCCTGATTTCTCGTCTCGGCCGCTCGGTTAAATACCTTGCGCGCGACATTCCAGATGTTTCTTGTCGTTCGTCGGCGCGATGCGCAGCGAAGGTTGGGGGGGGGAGGCACGAGACGGTTCGACTGCCCTCTCCGGAGAATGATTCACTCGGTCTGACCCCGCCCCGTTCGTTCTGGAAAAATCGCGGGCTTGCTCGGCCGCCGCTGTGGGGTGAGGAGGATCGTCTGCGAAGCCGTGCTTCTGCGGGGAGAGCGCGCGCCCGGGAGCCCTGGATGTTTGCTTTCTTTTTTTTTTTCCTTTTACCTCGCGGCGTTTCGGCCGCCCGTTGTCGCAAGGATTTGGCGGCGCGCTCTTGTTTAGCGCTCGTTCTGTGACACTGCCCCCCACTTTAAGAATATTATCTCATAATATTCAAACCACACAAACGAGCGCGAACAGTCACCACACACTCTCACAGACTGTAACACAATCCGTCGCTCATGATACGTCACATTCACAATAGATCACTTAATACAATTGTACCTAGTAATTCAATTACACAACTTGTGAAAACACAACTACAAGCACATGAGTACAACACTCCACCACACATTACCAATAATACAAATGTACAAAGTCTCTCACTACAACAATGGTACAATACTATACATCACATCACAGCACAACACTTCGATACTTGTGACACAGGATACCACAACATTAACACAACATATGGCACTCAACACTGCCAACCACATTCTGCTTTGACCTCAGCACTTATCCTGCGTACTTCGAGCAGCGCTTGCGCCCCTTTTTGCGGTGCTCGCTCGATCTCTTCTTGTGCTTCCACGTTCTTTTTCGGCGAGCCCTTTCCCGCGACGATATCTGAGGCGTCGTCTCAGCCATCGTTGTCTCTTCCGACACCGTTAACGCGTCATTACATTCGACGGGTCCTGTCTGTTTATTTACCCGCTTGATAATGCCTCTACATTTTGCCCGGCTGGCCAACTCCGTCTCCTTTACACTGTCAGTCGGTTGAGGTCGTGCCGTCGTAAGTCTGGTTGCTCGGCCCGTGAACTTATTCGACACGATCGTCTTCTCCTTCGCTGTCTCTTGCGCCGCGGCTTCGCCTCGGGCTCTAGTGAGATCCGTCACGGGATGCTCCTCCACTGTATCTCGCGGCCGTTGTGTTGGCGAGGGCTCTAACTTCGGGTCTTCTCCCAAACATCCTGGATCACTTGGCCCTCGCGCCCCGTCGATGTTTCCGATGACAAGGTCATACAGGGGGGTCGTCATGCATAAAGCAGTAACCTTCCCGCTGAAGTACGGGGTTTCAACCTCAATTTCTGCTTCGGGAAGCATCCGAACTGTACGGTCCATTAGGCAAACCGATTTCGTTCTGCCTGTCAACTCTCTTTCCCGTACCAAATTTCTCCTCACGATAACCGTGGAGCTACCGGTGTCTCTTAGAACTGTAATCTCCTTGCCTGCAATCTTTCCAGGAAGCGTTGGCATTCCCTCCGTAACACCGGTTGGCTGTTTTGACATTACAGCCCCCACAATAGGAATTTTCTCCCCATTTTTCAATTCTACGAATCCGTCGGTGACGGCATTATTATCGGATTTCGGTGCTGTTTGCACACAGGATACCTGGTGAGTTTGACTCACTCCGTTCCGACAAGCGTCTGCTTTGTGCCCCGTCTGACCACACTTAAAACATTTTACTGCCGTAGGGCTCGTAAAGATCGTTCGACAATTTTTCGCGCGATGACCTACTCGGTTGCACAGAAAACATCGCTGCATGCTCTCTGGTGCACGCTTCTTTTCTTCAGGAGCCAATTTCTTCGAATCATCGGGACAATCCTTCTTGACCTTGGCCAAATTAGTTCCACCTTGCGCTTCCAAGAATTGATCAGCCAATTCAAGCATTCCTTCAAATGACTCCGCCTTCCTCTCTTTCAAATACAGCGACAGGCTTGGGTGGCAACTAGTAAGAAATTGTTCTTTAATTAGCAGCTCTCTGAGCTCATCGTACTCCTGTGCTGTCCCTGAAAGTTCAATCCATCTGTCGAAATAGTGGCAAAGTCGGGCAGCATACTGCGTAGCTGTCTCACCATCAGCTGGCTTTCCTGTCCGAAATCTGTCCCGGAATCCTTCCACGGTAAATCTAAATCGCTTCAACAAAGCAGCTTTCACCTTTGCTTAGTTGGCTGCATCGGTCGGCGTCAGCCTACCGTACACACTGAGCGCTTCACCACTCAAGCAAGTACTCAAAGCTGTTGCCCATTGCTGTTCCGGCCAATTCTGGCTCCTCGCAATCGTCTCAAATCTGTGGAGGTACGCGTCTAGGTCGTCCTTCCTTTCATCAAACGCTACGAGCAGCTTGCTTGGGTTCAAGCGGAAGCCGTGATCTTCCCGTTCGCTGCTTTCAACTCTAGCTTGGACGGGAGTTTCGCTTCGCTGTTGCAAACGGAGCCGCTCGAGTTCCATCTCGTGCTGCCGCTGCCGCTCCCTTTCCTCTCTTTCTTCTTTCAGCTGGCGCTCTTTTGCCTCTCTTTCTTCTCTCGCCCTTTCGGCTGCCAACTTTTCTCGCTCCAGCTCCAACTTCAATTGCTGCTCTCTTTCTTCCTTCGCCCTTTCAGCTGCAAGCTTTTCTCTCTCTAACTCCAGCTTCAATTGTTGCTCTCTTTCTTCCTTCGCCTTTTCAGCTGCCAACCTCTCTCGTTCCAACTCAGCTGCTTTTTCTTCCTTGGCCCTCTCAGCTGCCAACCTCTCTCGTTCTAACTCAGTGGCTTTTTCTTCCTTGGCTCTCTCCGCTGCCAACCTCTCTCGTTCTAACTCAGCGGCTTTTTCTTCCTTGGCTCTCTCCGCTGCCAACCTCTCTCTCTCCACCGCCTCTTTCTCCTTCTGGCTTACCCACTTCCGTAGTTCGGCGCCAGAAAGACCCATCTTCTCACCAAGCGCAACTAACTTTTCGAGATCCATTGTGTCTCGCAACTCGCAAATAAAACCTTGCCGCGTGCAAAAAGTATCTGCCTAAATCAGTCTATCGGAACACTCCCCTGCACTCGTTAACGAGAACACTGAACAACACACAAAATCGTTCAGATAGCACTATCAACAACTCGAGGCTCTTTCTCACTACTTTGGACACACTGTGCACCAAAAGGTCCTGTATCGCGGACGCCAGATTAATGTCACACCTGTCCCGTTTATTAGGGAGGCGATCGCCGGGCTAATTCCAAGAGCCGAAGTATCGGCCCCCCGAACCGCACCACGAAAGCGTGGACAATTTAGAAGTGGTCCTTATTGGTGCGCCAGCGGACGCCGGCTGTGGTCCAAAGAATAAGACAGAGCCGAGAGTTGATAAACAAACAAAATTATATTCTCATTAACGGCAGATCAAAAACAATACACACGTATGCACACTCCACAATAGTTACATACAATACGTCACCAAACAGACAATGTACTACACAGTACAATTAACCACACTTGAAACAACGGACACAGACAACAATACGCGCTACAATGCAGTCGCATGCACTGAACAACCAAGACACTTAAAGACTAAAGAGATATAAAACCTATTCAGTCCAAAGTCCTTGGAACAAAAGTCGGAATGATACTCTTCCGAGAATCACTCACTCAAAGTCCAGCGTTGTTGTCGTTCCGCAGCTCTCGAAGTTCTCTTCCAGGAAACCTCCCGTCTTCAATTGGCCACTCTTCAAACTTCAACTTCTTCGCCGGAAAACCGTCGGCTTCACACACGCAGCTGTTGCCCGTGTCTTCGCTCGATAGCGGTAAACTCACGCTCTTGCCTGTAGCTCGAGCCGTCCCTACGGACCAAAAACTTCGCCGACTACACGGCGGACTCTCTACGCACTCTGGCGCTCACTTCCGTCTCCTCCTGTCCTGTCACTACGGGCAGAACCTTCGCCGACTCCACGGCGGAATCCCTACGCGCTCTGGCGTTAACTTCCGTCTCCTCCTGTCCTGTCACTACGGGCAGAACCTTCGCCGACTCCACGGCGGAATCCCTACGCGCTCTGGCGTTAACTTCCGTCTCCTCCTGTTCTGTCACTACGGGCAGAACCTTCGCCGACTCCACGGCGGAATCCCTACGCGCTCTGGCGTTAACTTCCGTCTCCTCCTGATTTCTCGTCTCGGCCGCTCGGTTAAATACCTTGCGCGCGACATTCCAGATGTTTCTTGTCGTTCGTCGGCGCGATGCGCAGCGAAGGTTGGGGGGGGGAGGCACGAGACGGTTCGACTGCCCTCTCCGGAGAATGATTCACTCGGTCTGACCCCGCCCCGTTCGTTCTGGAAAAATCGCGGGCTTGCTCGGCCGCCGCTGTGGGGTGAGGAGGATCGTCTGCGAAGCCGTGCTTCTGCGGGGAGAGCGCGCGCCCGGGAGCCCTGGATGTTTGCTTTCTTTTTTTTTTTCCTTTTACCTCGCGGCGTTTCGGCCGCCCGTTGTCGCAAGGATTTGGCGGCGCGCTCTTGTTTAGCGCTCGTTCTGTGACAGCCGGTTGTGGGCATATTGTAGCAGTACCTATAGCTATGCAACTTTTCATGCATCAGATGTTACTAGAGTTATATGTGCTTTAGTAACTTGATTAAATTTTGTTTCTTTTTATATAAATTAATCACTCCATATCTAGGTTTTGTGATAACTTGGCTTGACTGCAACACACAACAGTGAAAAGACGTTTGTTGGCCAGCAAAGTGTTGCCAGTGTGTGGAGTGAGGCTTCACCAAAGCGTGCTTTAGACGAGGGACAAATCGAATGGTGGTGACACGCAGTCCAGAGGACTGAGCAGCCTTCATCGACGATAGTCTTTGATGGTTTCTGCATGATTTCTAGTATAGGATGCAGTGAGCCTAACTGCCACCTTCTCTATCTGTTCACATAATACAGGTGTCTATGATGAACCAGAGTGCGACAGTGAGCAGCTCGACCACGGTGTGCTTGTTGTCGGCTACGGAACCAAGGACGGCCAGGACTACTGGCTTGTGAAGAACAGGTGAGTGGCTACGGCATATGCATTATCTGTGTCTTGTGAATGTCTGTGGCGATGCCTATTGTGTAGAGAAGTTTGAAAGCAAAAGCTTCATGGACAGAGGTCTACACATGGAAAACAAGTGTTAGTTGCCTAAAGCAAAATAGTAGCTTCCTTTTTTTTTTCTGCTCTTGAATTCTTATCTGCCGAGGCCAAATGTGAGAAAATTGGCCAAGAAGATGACAAAGCTGGCAACTAAAAACCCACGCTCATCACTACACAATGCACATATGAGATGTGCCTTCAACTCTTGAATCTGCAGATAGTACGCCTTCATGAAACTAGGCTTGTGCAAATGTTTGGGTACTTTAAATGTTACATTTAATATTAAAATGTTCTCATTCACTTCAATGCAAATTTTAATTATTCTGAATTCCGATGTATTTGAAATGAACGAATAAACATATATAAACTGCACGTAATCTCCTGTAAAGTTGGTTATACTAAAGTGTAGGAATGCTAAGCCGTAAGTACACCTATTTAGGGGCAATTCGCACTGGCATGAAGCCTTACTTCAAGGTTAAATCAACATACCGTATTTACTTGCATAGCTGCCTTCGAACCAAAAAGGATGACATTTTGACATGCCTTGTATCAATTCTATAAACTACTGCGCAAGTTGTTTGGGTCATGACTGGTTGCTCATTTTTCTTTGTAATATGGGATGTATATACTATTTATATGCAATTTGAAATTATTCGACAGAACTGCTATCAGCTTCGCAACTAAAATTTACTATTTGCACATATGTATATGAAGCCACTAAACTAGTATGTGTGTATACATACCAAAAGGAACAGTATTCCTCTCTAGTCGCCTTTTGTTTTCCACACCGCTTTCGCACTCTTTCCTGTAAGATATCAAACCAAATAGCCAAGCAATTAGTCATTTTTGATATGTAGAATTTGCTGTATTTTACTCTGAAACACATTTTTTTTTTAGCAAGGTGACATGGAATTGCAGATACATTTCGAAACGGTTTCACTAGGCATTGTGTGCTCTCCGATGTACTGGTGGCCATCTTTTGTAATGTACTGATGCGGTGAGCTGACACAAGGGCAGGAGAAGCGATAGTGCTAGTCGTCATTGGCCCTGCTATATCATGGCTCCATGTGAAGGCTTCTAGTTGCACGGGCACTCCGAGTGGGAAGCAGTGATAGCTGAATGTACGCGTAAAAGCAGATTACAAAAGTCATCCAAACAGCTATCCTTTTGCGTTTTTGCAAAGATTGTGCAACATTTAGAAATTTTGGCATAAAATTTACCCTTGTATACTGGTGTTTGTAGAAATGTTCTGTGCCGCATTTACATAAGCTTGAGTTATCAGGTTATGGGAGTAGAGGCATGTAGTACTATTCATACAAATTTGATCTGAACTGCACCAAGTGGCTGCAATGCATAAAGCACATCTGTGTTGGAGACTACAGAAATTCATCATGGAATTACCTCAGTTACAACCTACACATGAGGGACGTGAGCATGCAGTCAAGAAGTGTGACTCTAGAAATCAGTGGTTCTAGGAATAAAAGATTACAGCCGGCAAAATGCACGAGGCGTCCTGAAAACACTTGCAACCAGTTACTCAATGGTCACAGTGTTGACTATGTAATGTGCTGCGTCTGTCAAAAACCTTGTGGCACAGAAGTGCACTTCATGCTCGGTGCCTAAAGACTCCCTTGGAGTCGTGCGCCAAGTTTTGCGTGCTGTAAAGCAACAACATGATTGTTTCTTTGCTTGTTTCCTGCAACCCAAAGGCTTGAAGCTCTTACAGACCAATTGTACCCTTTCTTTTCAGCTGGGGCACATCGTGGGGTGATGGCGGCTACATCTATATGTCGAGGAACAAGGAAAACCAGTGCGGAATCGCCACTTCAGCCAGCTATCCTCTCGTCTAGTTATGCACAGTTTTTTACATGCTCTTTTTCCCTTCATATTGCATCTCTCACGCGCCACAAATAAACTATATTTTGTACAGTGAATTGCAGTTTTGCATATCTTTTACTAACAATAAGAGGCAGAAATGAAATGAAAACTGGAGAGAATTAAGCATGCGGGGGAAGATGTTTCAGTTTTGCCTACATGAAACCTTGGGAAGGGGCAAAGCATGCAGTAATTTGGTAGAGAGATTTCTCCGGTGAAGCACGAGTGGTGCCAAGCCTAAAAGTGGGCTTGTAAGGAACGGTGTTTCCGCCTAACTATTATTGTTGGAACACAGCTTACCTTAAAGGACCCTGCAACACTTTTTGAGCATGGTCCGAAAATGCTGCTGATTGGCAGTAGAGGCTCCCAAGAACGCGCGAGCCAAATATTATAGCGCAGCACGCAGCCTGGAATTCACAATAAATTCCCAAAGTCAGCTAAAAAAAATGCTTTCTCTTCTTTTGAAAAATAGCAGAAGTTCAAACATCGCTTTTCGCAGCAGTTACATCAGTCATTGGCCGATTTGAACGTGGTGCGCTCGGTCGTTGCAGGGATTGCTGTGGGAGGCCGCCACTGTCCATGCGTGCGTGCCCCATTTCAGTGAAAAGCAGTATATTCAAAAAAAAAAAAGAGGGAGAGTTTAAAGTTACAATGCGTGACGCATTTGCTTTCCCCGTGTCATTCTTCCCTGATTTAGCATCGAGCGCTGTCGGGATGAGAGAATGCAATAGCAGCGCGCGACAAACATTCACAACTGCGCTCGTACTGGACAGATTCTGAAATTTTTGCACAGTGTATTTGTGAGGCAATAAGCTCCTTCAGCGAAATCATTTCATGGCTAGTTGAGAAAGTGCTGCAGGGCCCCTTTGATGTGCTTCTCACCTACGTGCCCTGTTTCAGTTCCCTACGGGATGCAAGGAATGGTTTTTCTGCACAACTAACGTCAGCTTTTTGTTGGGCTAACTGTTAGATGCTTAATTTTGAGAGGACTGGTTGCGAGTAGCAGTGGGATTTAGTCATTGTGGTGCATGCCTGTTTTTATGATGGACCGTGACCACGGGAGATGCCGAGGAGCCCAGTCCCTAAGGTGATTTGCACCTAATACTGTGGGGTTCAGTGACGCTGTTGTAAAGGCAATGCAACAGTGATTACGGCTCATGATGATGTCATTACAGCCTCGTGCCTAGTGTGCAGTATGCAAGTTGAATGAATGAACAGACTTTATTCCTGAAAAGTTACAGAAAAACGGAAGTGAAGCTGAAAGCCATTCGGCCTGACGTGGCGTTGCTACGCTACGTCATGTGATAAGATCCCTAGCTTAAAGCAGGCTAAGGCAGTGTTTTTCCTAAATTTGCCACTAGGGTGGTTACAAATGTGGAAGTCGTACGAGATGCTGTTTTGTTATGAATTCCACCATTTGAAGCAATTGCATCTTCCTGCTTTAGTTTTTACAGTTTAAACATTATGAAGGTCTACTTCAACGTGAATTGATCCCTACTAGTTTGCCGTTTACACTTGTTTACAAATACCACCACACCTCCAACGAGTCATCGAAGTTGGCAAAGGTATAATGGAGGGTCACTAAAATTTCGTACATAAACTGAGAATTACATAATAACGAATGCCTAATATTATGATATGCATACTCGAAGGAGCACCTCAAAAGTTTGCTCGACCACTCTTCTCCGAAGCGTTGAAAACTGTGGAATGAGAAAAGCGCATTCCACAAATGTGTTACAAAAAAAATAATTAAAAGACTCAGTAGAGTTTACGTAAATGCAGCAGTGTTGCATTGTGTTTGTAGTGAATCACGTTCATCTAAACAGTGCGAGTATGCTGGGAAGGCACATGACATTACCGCACCAGACAAGGGTGCATTTATGGTACGAGTTTACCTGGACAGAGCATGTAAATACAGGCTCATTGCCACAGGAATGAGTGGTTGAGCTGCCACACTAGCTTCTATAAATATTGGTTGACATCACAACCTCTGGGGAGTGTGGGTGCACTGTTGAAAACTGGTTATGCTACATTTTGAGCCTGATGCACCAGCACTTCCATCATGCAACAACATGCAGTGCTACTATATCGAGGCTGTATTCACACAGCACGCTTTAACGCAAGCGAATGCCTCGGTCCGTGTACCGTTGACCACGTGTCACCGGCTCTCGTCGTGCTCCTTCGGTCCGGGCAAAAGTGATTCACGAAATGACGGAGGCCGAAATTGCAGTTGGAACCTTTTGCAAGAAATTTCGAAGTCCCCTTCTGTCGTGTACATGCCAGTCGCAGAGCGATTTAAATCGCATCACACGTGCCACGTGACTTACTCATCTGCAACAAATTTTATTGCATGAATATGCCAGATTAACTTTCCCTAAAGGTGATGCACTGCTGCCGCATTCCTGTCAGTGAAGTTAGCATGTGTTGTGTCGAAATACTAGAAGCGCAGTGGTTACATTCGTGTCTTCACTCAACGTATTGGCTTTAAGGAAGACGGGCAGCACTGCTAACAGTTCTGTAGTGATCAGGCAGCAGTAGTTTCTTTATCCCATGGATGTCTGTTGACAGATGGTGGCGCCCCCCCCCCCCCCTGTTATGTTTAAAAAGAGGGTGCTTCAGCTTTGCATCTTGCATGCGAAAACCTTGCTCTGCACACTACCACAAAATATAGCCAATATATTCACATCTCTGTGTTCTATCGACGGAATACATTCACATCAAGCCCTAAGCAACGATACGGTCAGCGTGTTCCCCTTGCTTGATCATGGCATTTTGGGGGCATATAGGTTTTATTCCGACATGTGGACAAGATGGCTGCATGGAAAAACTTATGTGAGAATATATGTATACTGTAGACTCTCAGTAAATGGAAATATGATAAATGGAAAGCACGTGCCTGTGCTGTATCGGTTTGGGCTCGTATTGCCGCACCCTTGTTCATCTCTCGGTAAACATAACTCCTATCGGAACATATTTTCCCGGTCTCTTCAGGTTCCATTTACTGAGAGTCTACTGTACAATGAAAAGAACTGGTAGGGGGCAGCTGGACCTGTTTCAACCAGCCCTCTGTAGTTCTTAAAAGAAAATGCGATTTAAAGAAAAAACCACTAAAGTTTGGTTATATAGTCTAAGGCAATGAAAGTTTTCACTGTATATATAGGCTTTTATGTTGCTGCCAAATTTGCAATTAGTTTTATAGTAGTGAGCTGCACAGTTCTTGTTTTGTGTCATGACAATATGTAAAATATAATTAGTTTCCAACAAATCTGTTATGGATTTATACTTTTATGCTTGTGAGTCATTAATGGCTCATATTGCTCCACATTTACTATAGAATGCAAACAACTATCAGGAGAGCATCTATAGGCCATCTTAATGGGCAAAAAAAAAAAAAAAGAAAACTAACGCGAGAAACCTTAAAACCCTCAGCTCGTACCGATTACTTGCTTTAGGTTCGCAATTAATATACATGAAATATGAAGTTTTAAAGGAGATACTTGCACCCTTCTCATGTAAAAGACTATCTGTTCAGAAGTACCAAAAACCTGATTTCTAAACTCAAGAAGTTCCCAAAAATGGATCTTGAGAAAGACGCATATAGAGATAAGTCAAAGCTTATCTATGCAGCAAAGACGTTTTTTAATATGACTTCTTTCATGATGAGAGCTCGAGGACCATTGTTATTCTGAGCATATGGCTTTAGTGAATCCTTCATGCGAAATGGAATGGCAAGCAGCCAGGTGACAAGTTTTAGGGTACTCTAGACAATGAGTTTTTTTTTTAGTGTATTTAGTAGACACCTTGTGGTCTTTAAAAGAAATTTGAACCTAGGTACTTCTAGTTTAATAACAATCTTTGGTTTTTTGTTTGAAAGTAGAGAAACCTAACTTCTGAAGCAAATAATAACAAAAATATGCAATATTAGAAAAAAAAAACATGTTTTTCGACTCGCACCTTACCTTAATGAGCAAAGGCACTTTGATTTTAGAGTGAAATGATAGCATCGCATATATATACGAGACTATGATCCATTTTCAATGTGTATTACAGCTTCCTTGTTCTTTGCGTATATGAACATGACCAATTTGTCGGTATATAACCTATGTTCAACCTTCTGTTGATACCAGCACTCATGTTCCAATGTAGGATCCTAATCAGGGTCAATTAAGTCGCAAGCTGTGCCTTCCCATTTTACCAGGCGAATATGCTTGGTATTAGGTGGCTAAATAATCTAGTTAGCTGCACAGATTTGCGAGAGAGATGCCAAGTCCAATGAATTTGATTTTTACATAAACCAGCAGTGGGGCAGTTACCTAAAACCACCATCTATAAAGCAATGTTACTTCGGTGACTAATGAAGGGTAACGGATAGATGTCAGCATTGAGTGCCGACCCCACAATGCATCAACCCCTGTTGTTACAAATGTTACAATGCGTTCAACAGGCTTTTGTTGGTTCCACACAAAAAACACAAAATGCTTAGTTATCCAACCCCTCATTGAATACAGAACTCGGCAATTTGAAACATGCAACGCAGTACAAATCGAAATAGAGACGCCCATTTAGTCTATGAGTGTTAAGCCAAAAGCTTTTGTAGTTGGAGGACCATTCGTAGAGCCCGTGACCTGAATGAAAAATGTATCGCAACGAAAAAAGACCCTCCGCGTATCAATGCAAATACAACTACGAGTAAAGAAAAGAAAATATGTGCGTGCAGCTAACACTACCTCCCGACTTCACTGTTTAAAGTAACAGGCACTGTTGAGCATGAAAGTGAACCTCACGGTTCATTCACTTCAAACTAAGCACATTCGCTGTTGTCACAGAGCTTCATCGATTTACACATCCCGGACGGCTCCAGACGGCCCTGGACGCCGGTGCCGCATTAATTTTTTTCAGGGACCAACTGGAAGCTCCGCCCACTGGTCCGGGATCACTCAAACGCATGTTAGTTTTTCGCGTGCCTGGCGGCCTGCGGGTGGCCCGGGACCGCCCGAACAGTTTTTGTCAGGCCGCTGGCAGACGACAGCGCGGTGCGCATGCTGTGCAGCCATCTTAAGTTAGACACTGGAAATTTTCGATGCGCTCTTGCTCTCTCTTTGCTTTTCTGTCCGCTTCTCGCATGTTTCTAGATTTCGCATTGTTAGCGCACCCAGTTCTTGTCATCGGTGTTCCGAGCCACGTCGAGCATGTGCGTATTCCCGAAGGTCAGGCAAACACGCGTTATGCTCGCTAGGAGAAACAGCGGTGGAATGACCGCGCCGGTCTACGATGTGCTCGAGTAGTTTACTTACAGTAAGTTGCATCGCAACAGAAATAGGTATAATTCACTATCTAACTGCTGTTTAGGTTGCAAATGGGTCAGCGTTGTGGCCTGTATTGCAGCTACGGAGGGAGCAGACGGCATAGCCAGGCACAGCAGACGCCACAGCGGATGCAGTCAGCATCAAGTGCGCAGATGGCCCGAAACCGCTCAGGCTAGCTCGGGATTTTTAGATCACGTGCATGTGACGTAGCCACCTGTGAGCTGAGGCGTCCACGAGTGATCCGGGACTTGGTATATCGATGAAGCAGTGCGACATGGTAGTAAGTGATAGACCCTGCGTTCCTCGAGGCTCACGTGGGCAGTAACAAACTGTACTAGAAGCGCACATCGCTGGTTAAGTTACTGCTTGAGTACAAACACAATGCAGAAGACAAGGATTAGACTGAACTGCTGAAAAGAGAAGCGGCGTGTTGGGCTCGATATACGGACTTAAAAAGAGGCTCGCATGAGACATTCAAATGGTCCACTTTAACACCAAACTTAGTGAAGAGTGTCAGAGAGTGATGCCTCACGAACGTTTTGGCTTTATTGCTGGGCCATGTTTATACCTTCATTATCACACATTTAGATAAACTGTATAGGCGAAATGAAGGGCTATTGCTAGTCAGCACACAATGGACAGCCTTTAGAACTTTGTTTGAAACATTTCAATTGTAAGTCTAGTTTTTTCTGTCCATTTCCTTGTTTCCTCCACATTCTTCTGAAGATTTTTGAAATTCACTCAAAGATAAAAGACAGCGTATGACTGGAATAATACTAAAACATGAAGGTGAGGTGTTTTTTGCATGCACACTTTTAATACATTTCATGACATTGCAGCAACACTGCTGCAATGTTTTCACAGGGTCCCATAAGTAGAAAATCACACGATCGTCATGGCCGTTGGGCACGTTTAGGAACATACGATTTGTCTTGTGAGCTGCAGAAGTGCAAAGCGGCGCAACATAAGTGACAAACGCTTGTTAAAACACTGCAGAAACGTTGCAAGTTCAGGCGTCATGTTGACAGAAAATGCCACATCGGAAAGATTCACTCACAGCACAGACACACATACAATTACAGCAAAGACAGAGTACAACGAGACTAGTTGAGCACACTAGCAACATGCTTGTACAGTGTAGCACTGGAATAACTCAAAGGCACTCTGGTCCCACTAACACCATGCCCTAATGTGTTTGTTGGGCATGTACGTTTATAGGCATGCTTGTGCTACCAATGATACATGTGCCGATACGCAAACATGCTAACACATTGCCAGGGATGTTTGGCCAATGCTAAACACGCACTCACACACGCACATACAAACAGAAACCAGTGATTACCACAAAAGGAAATAAAAACTTAACAGGATAACTTATGCCACATGGAAGTAGTCAAATCAGTGAACCGTTCGTGGAATCTGTTCTATCATGCACAAGAGTGTTGATTCCATGACCAGAAAGCAATCTTAAAAAAGAAGAAGCCAGGCTCTCATTTCTTATTGACAAAATAACCTAGTTCTCTCCACCCAAATGTCATCAAACATGCAAGGGGACTATATCCATAATATATTTCTTGAATCACAATTCTCAAGCCACCAGTGGCTTCTTTTCTGTCCATACAGCACACTGCGACAATCTGTCAAGGAATAAGAACGTTTCCGGCGGCATCAAACGTAGCGCTTAACCATTTTCCGGCATGCTCAGAAAGACATTCCTGGGCAAGTCGACAAGCTCCAGGCGGACTTCCACCCTGTTCAGGCGTAACATCACCACCGCTAAAGCACTTGGGGAACAGGATAATCCCTCTTGCATATTGAAATTAGACGATGCTTCACAGTTTCGCACACATCAAGAAATGCCAATTTGGGCATTACAAAAAGGTGCTCATAAAGGTGCACTTCCTTGGACTATTCGAACAGCGGGAATCGTGTAACCGTTCTTACGAAGAGCGACGCTCCCGACCCCTAGTGCCTTTCACCTGTCTTGCTCACATGCGTGCAGTAAATGTCTGGCAACTCCACAAAAGTTATAATAATGGATTTTAAGCAGCAGAAAACATGATTGCCTAGCTTTACTAAAGCTATCCACTAAAGTACACACAAATTCTAAAGCATATGGTGCCGAGTGTATCCGACATGAATCGTGAAGGAATGTAAGAGTAGTGCTAAATGCAGCGGTAGCTTACAGGAAATGGAGCAGTGTTTGAAGGACGATGGCAGAAGCGTGTGCAGCAATGGCTATAGTCAGAGAAGTTTCAGTTATCCCAGGCATTGTCAAGGAAGAGAGAACAGAAGTGCACTGTTCGATAAATGAAAATTTTTTTGTAAGAATGTAAAGACTTCTGCAAATATCTCTGCTCATTGAATATAAAGGAAAAAATACACGAACCTTGTAGGGGTTTGCAAATAGTGATTCTAGAAAATAAATGTGAATTAAAAAGCGAAAGAGGCAAATCTAAGAGATTGTATTTACAATAGCTTTTTAATACTGACCAGCCCCTTCTTGATATATGGTGTTCAAATCGTGGTACTATTAACATTGTTACCATTAAATATGCAAATAAGGCATTAGCAACAAAGAGGCATGCAGATACCTCGCGTGCACAGGTCTCAAAAAAAAAAAAAAGAGAAAATGCACAAGTGATGATCGTAGAGCATCTGAAGTCTGGATACCTGAGTAACATAGCATACTGCCTATACTATACTTGAAAGCTTGAAACCTAATGTACTGCTGTGCTAGCTTTGCTTATAGAGGCATAATGAATACCTCTGGAGGCAACTGCAGGTGCATATGTCATGTACCAAATTATGAAGATTTCATAAGTTGAGTGTGGCAGCTGTGTATTCAGAGGCTTGAGCAGCAAAAATGGAAGAAACAATGTCAAAAAGCTAACAAGGTCTTTCATGCATTTGCTACAGACAACGCAAGACAAAAGCCACCTCGTTATAAGCACTTTACATCACGCGAACACTGCAAAGATGCAGCGAATGCGTAGCTGTGTGTCTCCAGCCGTCAGGCGCTTGGGTGATCATGTTACTTTGGCCAGAGTGAGATGAACGTCACTTGAAAAAAAGTTTATTAAAGTGGTGCTGGTGGTAATTAGAGGAAAATTTTTGCAGCCCGGTAGGGAACACGGTGCAGTCCCAGCAGGAGGGGGAAATGGGAGAACAGTGGATAGGACAGAAAAAGGTTAGAGGTGTAGTGGCGCGGATGTCTTCAGCACAAATAGCACTCCTGCAGCAAAGATAGCGGTGGCAAGGGTCCCGTTCTCAGCAGTAGACTACTGAAGTGTGTGCTGCAAAGATGAAGCAAATGTAGAGCTTGCACTCCCCTAGCTGCGACCATGGTTACGCTACTTCTCGTAACTCATGACGGCTACTCATCGTAGGACCGTTCCTGTGAGCTATCTAAAGTTTTTGGCTTCAAGACATGCCCATTTTTGCAATGGTTCAGTTGCAGATTACAGTGATCAACACTGAATTTCAGCCCAGAGTGCAAACAACAGACAAACATTGACAACTCATGCATAGAAGTGCAAAATGAATACCAAACAATATCACCATACATGATTTCTGTGTGAAAAGACTACAAGTGGGAAGTGAAAAGAAATTCTTTTGGATTTGTTGACCCCGTGTACACGTGACAACATAACACTAAATAGACAGGTGAACATTCCTGCAGACACAAACGTAACACTTAGTGTGACCTTCTCTAGATAAGGCCTCGTTCCTGTGGGCGTTGAGCGAGACTTCATGAGAGTGGACACTCCAGGACCGACTGCGGGAGGTCGCGGAGCGTGTAAGCCACTGAACGAACCAGGTAAGTCATGGTACCATAGCAGCCACTGGGTGCGCTGTCGAGGAAATGCTGACAGAGCCCCGCCGTGCGACAACAGGCAACAATGGGAGCGCTGCCTGCGCAGCACAGTGTCGAATTCCCTCGGCAGACACGCTGGTCCTCGAGGAACAGGGCGTGTGCCCTTCGGACGATGGTCTCTATGTCGATGGGCATGCTGAAATTGGTCACGGCTTCATTCTCGACGACGAGGTTAAGAACCATGAGCGCTTCCACGAGCATCTGCCTGTACTCGGGCTCGGGAACCTTGTTCAGTATGTCTTCGACGCGGAGTGCAAACTTGAGCTCCCCAGGAGTCATCTCTCGGGTGAGCGTTTGCTGAAGACAGTGGCCGCCTGCCCAGACTCCGGGACAGCGCTCCAGCACGCGCCACACACAGGAGTAGAAGCCAACAGGCACGCGGTTCAGGGCCCCGTCAAGGCGCCGGCGGCGCAGCCACTGGCCCTGGCGGTCGGACACCTGTGTCAACGAGAGTTTCACATTCAATAATCAAACGTATTTGTCGTAACACAGCAACAAAGGAATCACAAAAGATTCTGTAGTTCAGTTTCCAATTGATAATCTAACTGGAAAAGTATGAAGAAGCTTTCCACATAATTAGACATATGAAAAGTATGAAGAAGCTTTACCCGATGAGCTTAAATAATAAACTAATTTCCTTAGTTCCATTTTGCAATTTTAGGTTTATCAGGTGCAAAAGCACTGTTTCAATGCTTATGCAATAACTATGTTGTGATGGTTCACTTGTGTACACACTGAGAGCCCGCTGGAAAGTTGAATATAAGCATGGCATTGTGCTAACATTCATGTGCAGGAGGAGATTTGAAAACATGACTAATTTTTTCATTCATTTACCAAACATATTATATCAAAATTAACAGCAGTAGAGCTTCCATGAGATACCTTACGAGTCAAGTCAAGTCAAGTTAATTGAATAGTTCAGTTGAGTTACATGGTTAGCGTTTTACAGCAGGAGGTCCCAAAGTTTCAGAGAAACTGACAGGGGGACCTCTTATGGCTACATGGATGGGGTAATCACAAAAATACAGCAATAGTATACGGACATGTGAGTAATAATGAATAAGCTTGATTAACAATAAAAATACGATCAATACACAACATAATGATAATACTCACTATAGAAAAATAACATGGAATTAGTCAAAAGCAAGTGAAGACAAAAACAATATTAATGAACAACTCTACGTGACAAATGCAACACGTTTCCTTATCAATGTTATCAATTATACAAAGGCAAATTGAAGTAGTAAAATAGCACAGAAATGTAGAGAGCTATTAACAGTTAATTACAGCTATTAACTGTTAATTACAGCTATTAACTGTTAATTACACAAATAGGATGAGTTGATTATTTCTTGGAACATAATATTTCTTGCTGCACGAAGTGAAAATATGAATGTTATGCGATGATTTCAATTCGAAAGGCAATGAATGCCAAATCGCTATGCTAGTAAATAAGGCTGAGAACTTGCCGTAGTTTGTCCTTATGGCCAGCAAAAGAAGATTATTGCACTGGAAAAACTGGGTGATGTTACTATTAGTTAAGTGACGATGATCAATACATGCGATAAAAATGTCATGCGTGATGAGTCTAAAGGCGACAATGGACATTCTATGACAAAATAATTGTCTCAATGGGAGTGTGTTAAGCTGAGGAAACAACGAGCTACAGGAAAAGTAAAATGGGCTGAAAGTCATTAATCTAACTGCTTGATTCTGAAGTCACTGAAAACGTTTGATGTGCGTGAAATATGTATTGGCCCAAGATGATACGCAATACGAAATATGGCTATGAATATAAGCAAAATACAAAGTACGTATGATGTGAGGCGGAAAATAAGTTCGTGTCTTGATCATAACGTGAATACTAAATGCAATCTCTTCAACGAGTGATGCTGCATGTTTATGAAATTTCAGTTCGCTATGTAAGATTACGCCAAGAAACCGCGCTTCACTGGAAATGTTTATGACGGTATTATCAATGTGAAGGGAAGGTTGTATGTCAAGTGAAATGCACGAGGAATGGAAGAACATAAACACGGTTTTAGTAGCATTGATCTGAAGATAATTGGCCTGGCACCATAAAGTTATGTTATGTAAATCTGTGTTGAGGTCAGACTGGAGTGAAGAAACTGATTTAGATGACTGAAAGATGGTTGTGTCGTCAGCAAAAAGTACGCACTTGGTCCTTGTAAGAATGGTAGGTAGGTCATTAATAAACATGAAAAATAAAAGTGGGCCTAAAATTGATCCCTGTGGAACACCAACGTTAATTAACTTGGGAATTGAAAGATGGCCATTAACATGAACCATTTGAGACCGGTTACTGAGGTAGCTCTTAATAAAATTTAGTGGCGGATCAGACATACCAAATGATTCGAGTTCAGCAAGTAGTACGTGATGATTTATAGTGTCAAAAGCCTTCGTCAAATCGATAAACACAGATCCCAGAAGTAACCCTCAATCAATAGCTTGTTTAATTTCTTCCGTTAAGGTAATTAGTGCCAGCTCAGTTGAATATACTTGACGAAATCCGAATTGTTGTGGAGATATAAAATTAAATTTTTTCAGGTAACACATTAATCTAATGTGGAATAACTTTTCAATCACCTTACCGAAGAAAGGCAGGATACAGATTGGCCTATTATTCTGTACAATAGTTTTATCACCCTTCTTAAAAACTGGAACTATTTTACCAGCCTTAAGGCAGCTCGGAAACACACCCGCTGAAAACAGCTTGTTAATAATTGCTCCCAAAGGTGGTGATATTAAGTTTGAAACTAGCTTTACTTTAAAAGGATCAATATGATCTAGACCAGCACTTGTGGTCTTTAGTGATGTGATGACCTGAAGGACTTCATCTGCAGACGATGAATGAAGATAAAAAGAATGAGTACACCGTGGTATATCACGTGAATGACCTGGTGATTGCTGCGTATCCGCAGATGCGCAGAAATGCTCACTGAGCGTGGCGGCCACTCTTACAGGGTCGGTATACATTTCGTCCCCTTGCTTTATTTTTATTGTGGACTCTGAGCAGTTATTCATGTTCAAAAATTATTTAATGATTTGCCAGCAGCGTCTCGTGTTGCCTGTGTTTTTTACAATGAGATTCCGGTAGTAATTGCGCTTAGCACGCCTAAGTAAGGAAGATATTGTTGCCGAGTATTTGTGAAAGCGGGATTTTAATGCGAGGTTATAAGGCTGCGACTTTAGTTTTTTATGAAGGTTATTCTTTTTATTAATGGACTTCAACAACGAGTTGCTTATTCATGGATTTCTAGGGGAACGATACCCCTTCGTGACAGTAGTGAAAGTGACGCATGCTTCTATACCTGAAGCTATTACTTCTGAGAAAGACTCAAAAGCCTTTTCTGCGCAGTCTTGATTAGCCACCGATGTCCAGTCTACTGTGCTAATTATATGCACAAACTTGTCCGCATCGAATGGGCGTTTCGTAATGATGTTACTGGCCTTGGTATTTTCGGAGCCCAGAATGAAAAACACGGGATTATGGTCTGTAATGCTATGATCTATTACACCTGCAACGTGTTCAGTGGAAATATTGGAGATGATATGATCTATTAGCGTATTCGAACCTAGTAAATCGTTTTTAGTTGGTGGTAAAATATGCGACGTAAAGCCAAAGCAGTATAAACAGTTCATATATTATAAGCACGATGCACTATCAGGATCAATAATGTTTATATTAATATCACCACATAACAACGTTTTTATTTTCCCTCACTAGGTTATTAAGAATGATGCTTAGCTGATTACAAAAATCGGAATACGATGATGAAGGTGACCGATAAATGGAAGCTATAATAGTACTGCGGCTATTAAATGGTGTAACACTATGGTTGAATTCAAGCCAAACAGATTCACATCAAATATTGTTGAAGGTTATGTCTTTACGGCGTGTGTAGGTTAAGGATGAGTTGACAAGTATGGCACTACCGCCACCATGACAGAGCTCCCAATTACAGTATTCAGAATAATTGCCTGGCAATCCGTACAAGTTACCCTCATTACCAGACAATCAAGTTTCAGATAAACATATGATAGAGAATGAATGTTTAAGCAAGGAAATCAACGTAACAAGATCATCCCGGTGCTTTCTAAGACTGCGAATGTTTAAGTGAAGTAGTGATAGGGCTGGTGACTTCTCGAGTAGCAATTCTGATGTTTGCTGGCACGTGAACGCAGCCTTGTTCATAAAAGGTGGTTTAAAATGGGGACTGATAGGATATCTAAGAGAATACTCGGAGATCTTCTGCGCATGCAATTCGAAACACGCGAATGTCATCCGCCTTTCTGGCTTTGATTGTACAATTGTCAGTCCAGAGATGCTTCCACTGGTTGGCTTTCTTAAGCGCAAGTGCCTGTGCAAAAAGGCGCTTTCGCTCTGGTGTGAGATGGTCATTTACATACACAAGTTTAGGGCCTGTGCTCTGAGAAAACCCTATATCTGTGGCCTTTCTTGCCTTCTTAGCGAATTCAGCCTTCTTGTTGCTCGAACAGAATCGCGCAATAATGTTGCTTCCATTCTTTGCGGGCACCCGGTGCGCGGTGTCTATGTCTGTATCGGAAATTGGACAACCAATTTTCTCACCGATAACCTGGACGACTGCCAAGCAGTCTTCACCCTTTGTCTCAGGGATTCCCTTCAGTTCAACATTATTAAGTCGCGAGTATTGTTCGAGATCACACATTTGTTTACTGAGCTTCTCATACTCATCCCTCAGGACCTTGTTTTCTTTAGTTAGTGCCTCATTGTCATTCTTTACACGTTCATAGAGGTCATTGAACATCACAAGACTTGTTTTTCTCTCTGCGACCTCCTGACGAAGAGCCTGTAATTCCTTTGCTAGTTCCGCGCAAGTCGGCATTCTCAAGATAAGTAATAAAGATAAGTAAACTCAAAATACGAAACACAAGACACAAAATAAATAAAGAAAATAAACTATATTAAACTATATTAAAGGTAACAGTGGAAACGAGAAAAAACGTAAAACAGAAAGGAGTGCACCGAGAAGCAATGAACCTGGACGGAGCGAACACAAGGGTCAATGCTTGTACACAGCCGCAACCACTACTGCCAAAATGACGAGCAATGGCAAACGATGGTCTATTTGTAAACCTCCTTGTCCGGTAGATGGCGAACATCGCGGCTGAAGTTCAGTGACGTAGTTGCACGTGCCAAGGATACAGCAGCAGCAGCAGCTAAGCAGTGCTGTCCAGTGAGCCGTGCAGATAAGATTCACCACCTGGACGGAGCGAACACAAGGGTCAATGCTTGTACACAGCCGCAACCACTGCTGCCAAAATGACGAGCAATGGCGAACGATGGTCTATTTAGGGCTCCTTGTCCGGTAGATGGCGAACGTAGCGGCTGAAGTTCAGTGACGTAGTTGCACGTGCCGAGGATACAGCAGCAGCAGCTAAGCAGTGCTGTCCAGTGAGCCGTGCAGATAAGATTCACCACCTGGACGGAGCGAACACAAGGGTCAATGCTTGTACACAGCCGCAACCACTGCTGCCAAAAATTATTTAATTTTGGTCTAAATTTATTTATTGTTTAAGTTTAGTGACCTTTTAAAGGGGCCCTACGACAAAATTTGAACATGTACTTTTCTTTGGTGCTTATCATGCTGTGGAATGCGCCGATATCCTTACACAAGTGGCAATGGCAACGCCAAAATCGAAGCGGTTATAATATCAGTTCACAGAACAAACTACCTTGATTTCGGACTACAGCGACACACATCGGTTATTTTTGTTATGGGAAGTGACGTTATGTCACGCGACGCGACAACAAAGACCGTTTGCTTTTGATTGGCTTAATGCGACAAGTAGCGTGGAATATTCATATGGTGGTAGAGGCTATATGAGTAAATGCTAAAAAAGCAAAAACCATTTTAATACTTGCTTAGAAAGAAATCCTTAGTGTTTCAAAATATGATGTAGTTTCACGACACTTAATCTGCGTATGAGAATATGGTACGCCAGCAACTAAAGGTTAAAAGGGGGAAACACATGCCGCGTTTTTACGGCAACGTTGCGATAGAACATCTTACATGCAAGCCGAGAAGTGACGCCACTCAAAGCGTATGTATTTATTTCACATTGTGTGACCATAGGAGCACCTGCTACTCCATATGCTAGTAACCATGCTAACGATGCCATCAAAAAGAGCAGCAGCGAGGTATTGTGTGACAGCCACCACGAGGTGACATTTCCTGTATGTATTTACGAGACTTGCACTGCGATTCGAAGTGGTCTTTGACATCAGCAGGCAAGTGAAAAGGGAAAGACAACGTTTCTCGTCGTCTGCTCGAGTTTTGAATTTTGAGGAGCCGTAACTTCACTTTTGATGCACTGATTTCCATCATTATTGTTGCATTCGTGTCAGAAATCGTTGCTACAGCTGTTTCGGTGCTAAATAAGGCTGTCGCAAAGATGTCGCAGGACCCCTTTAAAGCTGGGGTATCAAACTCACCTCAGCTGGCAGTCTGAAGTGACTAAAGTCAACTCCTGCAAAGGCCAGGACAGTGAAAATTACGCCATCTCCCACTATAGGGGACCATGTGTAGATGCGAAAGAGCCAGCGCTAACGCTTATACTGGCGGCAGTGTTGACGCTGGCACTCATCGCAGCGTTGCGCATGAGAGAAACCTGGGAAGGTGCAAAGCATGCAGTGATGGACCAGTGTTTCCAACTGAAACATGCCAATCGCTGCTAATGGGCAATGAAAGAAGACTTGGGTCGAACACACAGACCAACAGTCCGCTTTCAGTTAATGTGCATGCTGCTGATTTTTATTGTTTAACCACACACAGGAGAAATCTCCCACCGGCCCTACCTTGGAGGTCAAGATACAGAACCTATATATATATGGCGTGGCCAGTGAACGGTTGTCTAAAGCGAGGAGTCGGTTTTTTTCAAGCAAGAAACCTGTACAGACATAAGCTCATGTTGCCATTTCAAAGGCCTTTGCCATCTCTCTCATATGGGTCACTTCTCAAGAAGATTGGCGCCAGAATTCCAACATCTTGGTACTGATCTCTCAAATGACTATGATCTGGACGCAGATTTTGAGCTTAGTTTAATGGTTGTGTATCAACGTATCGTGACTCACAAGGGGCCACGTGAAAAATTCTGATCCCCAGTCATGCTTGTATAGCTCATGACCATACTTATTTTAAAAAATGTGGGACGAAGAGAGTTATGTACAGGCCATAGAACGCTAGCGAGAGACCGGTGGGCTGCGTGTTTGAGACCCCAGCTTCAAAGGGTCCCTCACAAGGTTTGACAATTTTGAGCTGACGAGTGAAATGTGGACACTGAGCATTCACGATCACGTCTGCCAAAATTCACAATGCTACACTCTGCAGAAATGGGTCAATTTCAAGTTGAACACTGCCTGCCCTTCTCGTGGGATCGTGCTCAGAGAATGAGGCAATGACGTACGTAGATGGTAGTGCTGCGACGTCGTTTCTATACATATACGACCGTGCTCCGACGTCGCTAACTGAAGCACGTGACACTGCAATAATTATTTGACATGATTTGTAATTTGCTGCTTGAGCAGATAAATAAAACTTGAGAGCAATAATAAGGTACACAAATAGAAATAGTATGCTTTTTATAAATTTTTCTATGAATCTCAGTGAGATGCGAGGCTATTCTACCTCTGTTTCACATGTGTTTGCGTTCTCGCACTTTGTGCATTGTGCAGACGCCACCCCTTGAAACAAAACTAATCTTCTAGTGTGTTCCAGCGCTCATTAGACTCATTCATGCTCCCACATCTGACTATATGATCATGCGGTATACCGCTAGTCTCATGTTCGTACAATTAGCACAGCTTCCATGTTCAGTAATAGGTTGAAAACCATCGTGATCGGTGAGAGTGCAATCAACATAGCTTGCAGAGATGAAGGGCAAAGAACGACATCACAACACTACTTGCATCTCGGGGGCTTGGGCTGGTTCGGGCACGTCCTGTGCTCGTGACCTTGTGTGCGCATGACATGTTTATGCATATGTGTCACGTGATCCTCACGCTCGAGTGTCAACGAGGGCTGGGAAGGGATCTGTATGCAAAGGCTTCACGAAACGAGCGACAAGGGTTTCAAGCTTGCCTCTGAGCATCATGGTTTTGCACCCCTGCAAAACATCAATTTTTTGAACTTCTAGTGGTGTGAGTAGAAAAATTCTTGTGGCATATTTCTGTCTATTTGTTGCGCAACATCTTCCAGTGTGAAAGAAAAATTTGTCGTCGCCTGGTAAGGGGCCCATTAAGATGTAAACAAGAGCTGTACGAATGAGTGAATATTTTTTAAATAACTTATGCTATTCCATTCGATTCACACTGGAATTTTCACTATTTGAACTATTGAAACTTCCCGATGACAAGTACACTCTACGTTCGATTTACAGTGGCCCTTTCAAATTTTTGTTATGCTTCACCCGACAACACATATGTAATGCGGCAAAGCTGTTTTTCAGGCTCTGCTACAGTTTTAAAGAATTATCGACCCGAGAAAATGCTGGTTACAACATGGAGATGATACATCTGGCAGAAGTGGGGGTAAATTAATGTTGTTTTGGACGTGAAATTCGGGCAGGAAGTCTGAAAAATCAAACGCCCAAGATTTTTAGCACTATTGTCCGCCACACCGGTCGGCCTTCAACAGAAGGTGAAAGAGGAGAGGCTGAGGAAATAGCATCTATATGCCTTTCATGTGTAAAGTATTGTCTACTACACTTAGTCGCACTCGGTCAGGTACATAAATACAATTCGGCCTCTCCACAACCTCATTCTTGATAAGACAACCACGGCCGCTGGATAAAAAACAAGGTTGTTTTTTATCCAGCGGCCAAGAATGTTTTTTATCCAGCAACCGTCAGACAACAATTTCCCGTCCGTGCATTTTTCATCTTGGTCACATTGCTTGCGCAAAACCTTCAAGGCAACTGTCAAACACCACACCACCAGCACTTGGTCAACTTAGCCAAAAAAAAAAACACTTTCATGTTACTACCTCATAAGAATATTTTTAAGAATCCTCTCCACCCAACCTTTTTCTGCAGTTCTGCATAGAAGTATTACAAAGATATTCTAGAAATATTTAGAAAATGTTTGATTCCATCCGCACTCACACTTCCGAAACTTGAGTTTGCCTCTCACTCAAAATTTTGTTGTTTGCACAGCTCTAGTGAAAAGCATCTCAACCCTGCATAAACCACCACATTGGTACTACAGTGGTTATGGGGCTTGAATGCTGACTAAGGTTGCGTGATTGGATTTCGGCCGCAGCCACCACATTACCTACGAAGGGGGAAAACCTGAAGCCCTTATATTTAGATTTAGTTGCACCTCAAGGAACACTAGACGATCAAATTTCTCAATCATAGTGTGTCTGTCATAATCATCTCATATTCATAATAAGATTTTAGAATGATAAATGCTGAACAGTCTTGTTATTAACCTGCATAATATAGTGACGAGCATCAACTCGCAAATATCTCAATACAGCATTCGTATTCTTAAAGCACAGCTATGCTACCTGCTGAACAAGCGTACAACAAAAGCAGCTGTTAGCCCTGTGTTTTGCTACTCTCAATTTTTCTCCTGTTGTTTGTGCTGCTTTCTCCTATATTACAGTAATGTAGGCTCTTCTCTCAAGTGCACTTCTGAACTTACAACAGAGAAACAATGTTTAACATGATAGTGGTGTTTATTGTTACCTGTGAATCGTCTTCATCGTCTCCATGAACAAAGGTATCTACAACACTGCACTTGGCGGCGAAGCTTCCTGGACTCACTGCCGTTATGCTCTTCACAGCAGCCAGCTCTCGGCCACTCAGGATATTCTGCAGAAGTGACTTCATCTCAAAGGGGCTGAGGTTGAGGAGCAGGTCGGCCGTGTCGTGTGCCGAGCACTTTGAGGCACGTGCCAGCTCTGCAGCCATGACCTGAATGATGAGGCCAACGCGCAGGCTCAGCATCTCGGTGAACAGGTGCGGGTCGGTGCGTATGAACATGGCCAAATAGGCAAGCAGCTCCTGCGTTAGCATGGCCGTGCTTTGGTCGTTCCTGTGGGCACGCGCGATGATGATTCGCAGCTCCTTGGTTGACAACGGCCGATTGATGACCTCCTCGTGGTGCGGAGGCATGCCGACCGTAACCTGCTTCTGGCGCACCAGCAGATCGGTCACAGACTTGGCCAGATCTTCGACTCGCTTTCCGAGGCAGCTCGCAAAGTGTCGTACCAGCCCCCACTTGTGTTCCCGGCAGGTCCGTTCGTAGAAGTCCTGAAAGAGGTCCTTGACTGTCACTACCGAGTGAGGCTGGCCAAGTCCTGTGTCCCAGTTGAGGCCCTTGTGAACAGAGAGATAGTGGAGAATGTCCCCTTGCTCCTCGAGCGAATCAGTCTCGCGTAGGGTTGTCAGCAACTCCCACTCTGCAACGTGGTCGAGATGCAACTCTGACATTGCTCGGAGTGGAACTTGCTCTTCGAGAGACGTACGGTGAGGTGTGATGGAAGTTGTGGTGGGGTATGATGGCATGAACGTGTTGAACTCCGGGTCGAAACCATCTCGACTGGTGATTGAGCGCGAGCGCTTCAGAAGACCTGCGATTCCAGATTTTCGGGATCGAGCACTTGGAATGCCCATTCGCAAAGGATCGTGCATGATGGCCCCGGGACGATTGAGCCAAGTGCGCCGCATTTCACGGTCAAGGTAGTCTCGCACTTCTGTTGGCAAGCTGTCAGGATTGCCATTTTCATAGTCCCTCAAGAAGTCAAGACTAGCAATGCAGGAGGTGCTGATAAAATCACCGAGCTTGCCTAAACAGACTCTCGTGCCATTTAGGTAGCCGCTAGACAATTTTTTTATTGTCTGGCGCAGGCTAAGTGGGACCTTTCCATTCACCAGCTGTCTTTGCTGAAGTGTCACAACCATCGTTGGTCGTCCAAGGATGTTCCAGTGCGATCGCAGCACAGAAATGTTTGAACAAATGGTGTCTGCAAAAAGGTCCACATCATTTACTAAGTGGAATTCCTCACTGTCTAAGTTCTGCGGTGAGAAGACAAACAGTCGATCCTGGAGCAAGTAGACCTTGCTAGTGGCCAGCAGGCCCACATCTTTGGTTGGACGACCCTTGAGACCAAGCTTTTGGTTTCGGCCTAGATAAGAATAAAGTTCCCCCAACACACGAGCAGGCTGCACTTCAAAAGGGCACACTTCACTCACAGTTTGAATGTCTTCACAGATAGCTGAGAGCTTTTCTTGAAGGCTAGGATCTTCGGCCAGCAAAACGACCTGAACTACCACTTCTGGCCGTTTCAAGGAGCACAGGCGACGATTCAATGGGTCCAATTCACCAGGTGCAAGAAACCTTTCCTGCAAAAGACGACCCAGTATGAACAGAGACTGAGACCACATGTATGGGACCTGCCCAACTGGCACCCTGGCCTGGCTGTGGGGAGTCTCAGACTCTAGATGCACTTTGTCTGCTGGTACACCGTACATCTCGGGTATGTGCCTGAGACCTTCCTCGGTCCTTATCATAAGCTGTTCCAACTTTCCAGCATACTCATCCACCATACCACTATCACCCCGAAAGCAGGCATCTATGATCATGTAGCAGAAAAAAAGAGGCCATTCGCACTCGATGTTGTCAAATGCTTTCAGTTCCCAGGGTTCGTAGTGCAACCTCCGAGAATCTTCTCTCGCAGTCTTGTAGCCATCCCGAAGAAACCTCTTGCAGCCATAGTGGCCCTGCAATTTTTCGATAATAGCCAGGCGTGTCGTCTCAATTAGTTCTGGGTCAGTGATGGAAAATGCTGGAAAACCAATCACAGTTAGCAACGCTGCACCCACTTCTTTAGAACTTGACTCTCGTGGCAACATTGAGTTAAGAACTGCGTCGCACTTCTGGGCCTCATCTGGAAGCACGTGGATGACCGAAGGTGGTCCCCCTCTTCCGCCGAACAAGTCTAGTTCATTCAAGGCCTCCAAGGCAGCCTTGGCAGCCCCCACCGAGCTGGCATTGAGCTCTGGAAGTCCGTGGTTTGTCTTATCACCCCGTTCCCATATGCCATAGTCCGGAATGCAATAAGCGTTCTCTATGTAAAACACCAAGTTCTGTACAAATGCCACCTCGTCGAGGCTGAACACAATCTGGAGTCCAGATGCTGTCATTTGCGCCAGCACCAGAAGGTACACAGATGTAGCATCTAACTGTAAGTGACCCCACTCTCCATCGCTGACACAGGTGCTACCTGTCACAGAGCTGTACTTGGCATGAAGGCTGTCTGCGGGGCTTTGGCTCTCCTTGAAGCGTTCAACCTTGTCTTTCTGCTTCATCATGGCCATGAGCAGACCGCGCATAAGCTTGACGCAGCTTTGCTCCAGCTCATACCCCTTGGCACGATCTTCGTCGAGCTCCGCATTCTTCTTGTAGGCCATGGACAGCCCCCAAACTGAGACCACGCAGTAGACGTTGTCACGCACCCATGCATGGTTCTCGTATTTCTGCGACGGAATCAGCCCAGTGACGGGATCCTGATAGTTCAGGATGGTGCGGTACAGCAGGCGATGGTAATAGTCCAGGCGGACGCCAGAGTTGCTCCTGCTCCTCATGTTTATAGTTCAGGCCTGGAAATATAAAGCAAGTTGGCGATCTAGAATGCTATTTTACACCTAGTTATGAAGTAGCCGCTTGTGCTTTCTATAGATATAGCTTATACCAATAGGCCTGCATGCTGAGTCGCTAGCACTTCTGCTGATTTATGTACTCTCCACAGTAAAAACGCACACAGGAACGGCATTCTGGCTACAACTGTTCAAAAAATCTTCCGAATGCATGTGCATTTTTTTCTCCTCTTTTCCCCCCTCTCTCTCTACACTCTCTTTCTTGCCCCTATTCTCCATCGCCAGTGCTGGGTAGCAAACTAGATGCAAATATCTGGTTAACCTCCCGGCCTTCCTTTTCTCTGATTCCCCACAGTAAATTCACAGGCATGAAATATAGAAACAGGCCATAACAGCAACACTTACATCCATGCCAGCACAGAGCTGACCACTGAAATATATTTCTTTCATGCATTTATAGAAGAGAAAAAGAAAAAGGATCATAAGTAAAAAATGAATAAACCAGTTTGCTATCTCTTTTCATTCAGGGGCGAAGCTCCTTAAGGCGTAAGTCAATTGTCACTTGTATGTATGCATGTATGTATTAACCACCCCACAGCATAGCCACGAAGTGAATGATAATGAGTGGGGCAAAGCTTCGGAGGGTTTTATCGGCAAACCTTGAATCATCCGCCAGCCGCGCCCATCCGTCATTTGTCTGTCTGTTTGACGCATGGACGGACGGTCCACCCATGGGCGGAAGTGCAGACGGACGCTTCGCCCCACTCATCATCATTTACTTCGTGAACATGCTGCGATTTTTTTCATCTTCTCAAGTTTATTCCCTTATTTCTTTTTAAAGCCCTAGGAACGCATGCAAGACTAGCATCTTCTGTCCTCACTGCACCTGTATTGAACTTTTAATGGGGATGCTGTGCTTAACATTAAAAGGACACTAAGAAGAAACAATGACTTAGTTTAGATTGCCAAACTGCACTCTGAGAACTTGAATGCCATATGTTTCACTACCATAAGTATGTTATTAGAGGACAAAATCAAGGCTGAAGTCTCATTTCTAAATTTCACACCAAAACTTCTGCACAAGCCATCGGAAATTTCAAAACGTATTTTTGGTATTTTCTAGACATTCGCTTGATGAAATTTTCTTAAACTTCGTATTCTAGGTCTATGGTACCCACATACGACAATACACTTCATCTTTATCGATTAGAAGCTATGTAGGGCCCAGTTTCTTTAAACTCTTCTACCCTGCGTTAATACATGAGTCAACATCGTTTCTAGTTAGTGAGATGCTAAGACAAAGTTGACACGCCAACTCAGGTCAAAATGTTCAAAGAAAACACTAGTACACATTTCTCAGTATTTGCGCTATATGTTACAAATAACCGATCTTTCATTTTACGCTGTGTGGGCAGTGCATTTTTGGGGGGGGGGGGGGGGGGGGGGTCATAGCAGCACTTAAAGCCTCAGTGCAAGAAATTGCGTAAGCGGTACTCGTGTGTTTTGTGTGACCATGTAGCCAGCCGAGTTTGCATGAAAGCCATTCTGGGTGCCAAGGTGTCGCACCTCATTGGATGCTCTTTGAGACCGCAACAGCGACCGTCTCTCAAACTAACCACCGCGCAGGAGCTCGCTTTCTATTTTTCTAATCAACTGAATAGCTATACATAATAAAGCTTAAGCAGTCTTGAAAGTGCAATGTCCGATAAGTACTTAGACTCCCTGCTCCGTGCTTCCGCGGGTCCACGCGGTCAATCGTGCGAGCAAACGACGGACGGGCTGGCTCACGAGAAAGCGCGACGCCCGGCGTATCTTGAGACTCCCGGTTACGGGTACCTCCAACGTATCTTTAGACTCTCCGATTCGGGTACGTACAACGTGCCTTTAGACACAGCATACATTTTATTACAGTTGCATTTTTTCCCGGAGCATGCTCGGGTTGTTCCGACGTACCGATGCGCATATCTTATCTACACTAACTACCAGAGTGCATAAAAGGTGTTTAGACATACCCACTGCCAACGGCAAAGTGACATTCACTTCTACAACGCCACATAAATGAACAGAAACAAACATGCTGCAGTATCCGTACAAATATTCAGGAAACAAGCTTGTGAAACTAGAAAACACCACGTGATAGAGTCATCCGACTTCCGTTTAGATGGTATTAGGTAATAAACGAGAAGAATTCTGGCGGGAAAGAAGCGGTCGCGGTGTGAACCTTGATGCCTTATCGAGTGGTCGCATGCGCGTAAAAACAGCATGAAGTGCGCCTACATGCGGGCATTTCCAACGGACAGTTCAACAAAGCAACCGGTAACAAAAATAATGCTGGGGTGAAAATCAGGATTTCGGTAGCCCAACTTGACAGGCACAAAGCGCATGTCAACGAACCCTTCATGCTCAGCTATCTGCGGAAACCGTCTCTATGATTGCTCAATCAGGAGAGGACTGGCGACGCATAGTCTCGGCAGCAGCTCGATATGCAGCGCACGAATAAACGCACTTTCTGGCGACGGCCTCAAGTACATTGAAACGTCTATAATGAGGCTTGTATCTACGCAGCTATTTCCACGGCACTTAACCACGATATGTTTGAACAGTGAGCGGCATTCAAAGCCTGTAGTTGAGCGAAAGTACACACCTCTCAGCGTGAAGCCAGCTTACCTTTGACTACTTGTAATCATGGGGCAAGTTGTACGCTTGACATAAACTGCAGTTCGAGGAGCTGTCACGTATCGTGCAGGACGTGCTGTAAGCAAACACGGCAAGCTCCATAGTCATGTCCGCCCAAATCACTACCATGACACGCGCGGAGAGACAAAGCGACGAGCGGATCGGCTCGACCAGCTGACTTGAATGGCCGGGCTAGGCTAGGCTTTCTGCCGTACTGATTTGACCGAATGAGTGGTTTTCGGTTTCGGTAGTTTTCGGCACGGTTTTCGGATCAGCCGAGGCTGTAATGCGGATTAGTTAGTTTAAGTGATTTGTAGTCACTTTCGTAGTGCAAAAACCAGACGCAGACACAAATTCACAGGACGGGCGGTAGGCGCCAACTCGTTTTTCACTGAAAGACAACAGCTAAGGCCAAAAACCGAGGAACACGAGCACTTGCGCACCATCACACTCCGAGGTGCTCTCTTATATCTGCAGCTTCACGCGTTACCACCTTAAATGCGCAAGATATGCTCTGATACTCACGCTCTTCATTGGACAAAGCGACCAACGCAACACTGCCACATTTTCTTTCATTCTTGCTGTCAGCAAACTCTTCTATGATTTCTCGCGTTGCCTGATTTTAGGGGCGAAGCTCCTTACAGCGGCACCCGTTCGTCCCTCGTAGTCATAGTCATAGCCCATTACGACCCAGCCCGCACAAACGTGTGGGTAAGCGAAAGCAGTCACTGAACGGTACCTATTTCAGTTTCGGTTTCAGAGACCGCTGTCAGCAATGTCAATGTCCCGGAGAATATCTCATTTTCAGTAGTTCATCAATTTGACCACCAGAGGGCGAGGAATTTCTCAAATAAACATGGCGCCTCACCATGTGCGTCCACGCCGACTCCCTCTGAAACGTAAGTCAGCGTTTTTTCTTGATATTGTGAGGAACCGCGCTCACAATATTCGTATTTTTTCCGAAAATCTTTTATAGCATAGCAATTTTAAGACGTCGGGAAACATGTAGCACTAAACAATTTACTCGTTCTGATTGCGGGCGTTTTGTGGTCACGCGCCAAAAAGCCACACGCACGTTTGTGCGGGCTGGGCGTTTGTTGTCGTGAAATGCGTCGCGGCACAGTGCAAGTTGGCGAACTCGTGCGCTGTTGTGACAGCGCGGTATATCTTTATATTCCGCAAAGTTTTTGCGAATCGTATTGGTGGGTCCCCTATTCGTGTTTTACAGTTTACTCATGCGTCAAGTTAGCGTCACAATGTGACGTTGCGTGAATTATGAGTACAATTAGTGGACAAATTATGGATTCCGTGATTGCATGAAACAACAGCTGTACAGCTGTATCTGAAACAGTGAGGAACTACATTTAGCGTCGCATAGGTGTACAGTTGTCACATGTGATTCGTTTATTACCTTTCATGAATCACAGTGAGGAACAGAATTGTTTTGGTCAGGTTTCTGGTGCAATATTTCAACGCCATAGCTGTCATTTAACCTCGGCAACGAACTTTGGGTTGTTGTAATGCATAAATTTTGCACTGTTTTCACCTGCAGGAATTTTCCATCCCGAGGACTAAAATGATATGGAAGAAATTTTGCAGCTCCTGGATTCCTCCGACATCGAATTCAGTGACGACGACGAGCTAGCAGAAATTCAAAATCGTGAACCAAATCAACCCGGCGGTGAAAGCAACAGTGACAATGATGAAGATATTGATCGCTCTGTTCCCGCACCTTCTGCCTCAGGTGACCAGTCAACAACCCCTGCCAGCAACATTAGAGGTCGCACCTTTTGGATGAAAAAGCCCTTCCCCAAAAAGCCTGACCCGCCTGGAGCCATTGAAAGGGCCGATGTTTTGGTAGATGTCAAAAGTCCATTGAGCTACTTTTCAGAGTATTTTAGCGAGCAGTTTTTTGAAAATGCCGCTGAAAAGACCAATATGTACCACGTGTCAAAGCATGGAAAAGCTCTGCAAGCGACCGCGCAAAAGGTAAAGCAGCTGTTCGGTATGCATTTAGTCATGGGCTGCATTCGATTTCCGCAATTACACATGTATTGGAAAAGAGGGTATCATTTTGATCTCATCAGCAGCGTAATGACACGTGAAGAATTCAAGAAGTTACGGTCAAGTCTGCACTTTGTTGACACGAAAAAACCGCGAGAAGCAGACGATGTGAACAGGCTTTGGAAAGTTCAGTCAATAATTGATGCGGTTAGGAACCAATGCACGCAACTTGAGAGAGCTCCCCGTTGCTACTCAGTTGATGAGCAAATGATACCATTTACTGGTAGGTGTCCTCTCCGCCAATACGTGAAAAAAAAGTCCAGACCACTCGGGCTCAAAAATTTTGTTGTAACCACATCTGAGGGTTTAGTAATGGACTTCGAGATCTGTCAAGGAAAGTCCACGCCCTTTGCTGAAACGTCACTTGGCTTGGGTCCAAACGCTGTGCTGTGACTAGTACGCACATTGCCAGAGAAATCCTCGATATTTTTTGACTGGTACTTTACCACCATGCCTCTTCTGGACAAACTGCTGAAGAAAGGCATTGATGGTACGGGTACTATCATGGCGAACCGAATCCGTAGTGTCCGCTTCAGAAGCGACTCAGAAATGAAGCAAGGTGATCTTGACGAACTCACTCGAAACGATGAGAAAGTAGCTATTGTGAAGTGGAAAGACAGCAGGATGGTGCTACTGGCTTCTACTTGTGCCAGGGCCACAAATGCCGAACCTGTGAAGCGGTGGTCCAAAAAGGAGAAGTGCATCGATGTGCCCCCACCGGAAGTGGTCAGGCGCTACAATGCGAGCATGGGAGGTGTTGATACCTGTGATCAACTAATTGAATATTACAGAGTGGCAGTGAAAACTAAAAAGTGGACCTTGAAGGTCAGTTTGCACATAGTGGATCTTGCAATTGCCAACTGCTTGCTTGAATACAGGGACGCCTGTCGAAAAGATGCGGTGCTCAGACGCAACACAATGAGCTTCTTGGACTTTCGTCTTGCTGTCACTGAGGCGCTTTGCGCGTCACACAAACGCAAGAGACTCGAAAGCAACAACGAAAATGTGCAGCCAAATCATTCTACAGAGAGATCCCCTGGAGCTGCGAAGATTCCCGGCGTGGACAAACGTTTGGACTCGTATTACCACTGGCCATCAGTGGACAGCTTGTCCTCTGCACGTTGCTGCAGGCTTGCAGGGTGCACTTTGCGCACTCGGACGCGTTGCAACGTCTACTTGTGCCTTTCAAGTGACAAAAACGGTTTTAAAATGTTCCACAGACGGCACTAACAACGTACTTTCTGCTCTAAGTCCAGCAGTTTTAGATGCATTCTTAACTGCGCGGTTCACATGAATAAACGCCCAGCCCACACATATGTGCGGGTATGTGTTCTATGTCAAATGTGCCGATTTTTGTGTTCTTACTTTTCAAAACGCTATTAGTATATAGCATTAAGTAATATTATTCGAGAAAGTTACCCATTAGTCTTTTATCTTTTTGTCGGGCAGGAAAGGGATAGTGTGTAACCGGTCTAACTTTTTGACTTGTGAGGTGGTGCCGGTGGAAGATTTCTCCTGTGCGTTGTTGAGCAATAAAAAATTCGTTGCGTGCGCGTTAACTAAAAGCTGAATTCTCCTCTCTCTCATTCCCCATTAACAGCCATTGGCATGTACATTGAGCACTATCTGACAAGAAAGGGTTGCTACGTTATACTCGCTGGGCGTAACCTCCTTGGTTTTAGAAAGGTTTAGCAAGCGTTGGGCCGCAGTGCCATAAACACAGTGAACTAGTATATACCATGAACTCGAGGTGGTTAAAGGTGGGAAGTAGACACGAAGTGCAAGCCGTAAGAAAGTGTGCGTGTGCCACCTCTCGTTTAGTCCTTGGAATGTCCGCTGGATGGCGGTGCTTCTATATGCGGAATACATGATGAAAAGATGTGAGATGGTGGTACTTGGAGTGTTGACTAGACGGACGAACGGACACACACACAGATGCACCAACGGACGCACGGATGGCTGCACGGACGGATGGGCGCATGGACGAACGCAGGGGCGGATGCACAGATGGACATGCGGACGCACGAATAGACGCACGCATAGAGGAGCGAATGGACGCACGGACGGTCACACAGACGGATGCATGGACGGACGGAAGCAAGAACGAATGGACGGACGGATGCTTCGCCCCACTCTCCATCATTTACTCCGTAGATATACTGCCATTTTTTGCCTTTCTAAGCACATGTTTAGTGGTAGTTTCTGGAGCACAACCACACATGACACAATGATCCGCCAAATGTCCCCCCCCGCTGCCTATGCGTCAACTGCCGAACAGTGCTCTCGATATCTGTCATTAAGAATTCCGGTTTATGTATCTTGTCCACGACACCCATCTGGCAAGGCACGAACTGGATCGCGTGCTTTTTTGGTGCACGCAAGTTTGTCTTTGCAACCATTCGCCACTGGGCACATACGGGCCAGGTTCTCTGGAGCAGATAATACCACCGGCACACCACATTTTGCTGCCGCCTTCTTTAACCGTTGGGAGAAGCGGTAGATGTACAAAGCTACAGGCCTCACACTTAGCTTGACAGAGGACCAATTGGCGACCAGGTGGCGCGCCAAAAACAAAAAAAAAAGAGAACTCCTGGTGGAGAGTCGTGACAAAACTCAACCGCTCGGGCTCAGACGCCCAGCCGCAGTGTACCCAAGAAATCCTCCTTGAGTGTATTGCGGTGAGAGCACGCGCATGCGCCGCTGCAGTGCTTCATTTTGAAACGAACAACTCAAACAACCATTGCGCCAATAATACTGCTCTGTGGTTTAGAAAACTTTGTCCGAAAACCACTCTCACTTAAAAAATTCGGTAGATCCCACTTACCTGTGAATCGACGGTATGCGAAGCATGCGGAGGGAAGGTGACCGTAGTGCGATTTTTTAGAGAGCGACACGTCATGAAATGACGCTAAATATATGTACAAACGTTGCATGCACAGACATATGTTGAAGATTTGCAGATGTTTATATAACCAGTTGTTTGCACTTGCGCAACGATGCCAAATGGAACATGCGTATTAGCAACACCAGATGCTGATGTGAAGCGCTGAAGCTCGCAAGCATGCTGGTCCTGGACACTGCTACATAAATCAACATCAGCGAATGGTACCTAACCATAATTGGCATTAACCCGACGTGACGCCTGTATCAAAGGAGTACATATGCAATGTGTATAAAATTGGGTAGGCAGCACTGCAACCACTATTGAAGTTTCAAGAATATTAGCATCTATTTCAAAAGTAGTTCCTAGATCTGGCGTAGCTCTGTGGTAAAATGCTTTGTTGCCACGCAGAATGCTTGGGTTTGATTCCAGCTGGGACCTTGACATTTATTCTTCGCATTTGACGGGTCGACGCTACCGATGTCGGATATTTTTTAACAATTGCGCGTTAAAATTGCCCATGTGTGTTCTCGTCGTTTCTGGGAAGATACCAAGTGTCAATCACCTGTGGCACATACCCGCATACCCGCGGTACATACCCGCCTGTGGGTATGTGCCACTGTCTGGCGGGTAGTGTTTGACGACGTACGCGACGGGATTGTGACATTATTCATGTCTTTACCAGTGCGTCATATTCGTCAAGCCATCTTATCCTCCCATGCTAATTTTGGTTCACGCCAAGTTAAGGGGCTGACCACGAGAGCAGCCAAACGTAAGTGGCTAAATAGATATATAGATGCGCTCAATGTCACCGAAGTTCGCTAAAAAAATGCATTTAGAAGGTCACTAAAAACCGGAGAGAAGCCCCGCAAAGCGTACCGCGCCTATGCATATGGCATTGAATGGACAGTGCTGTATCGTGATGGCAACTCCGTCGTCCTAACTTTCTGGTACCGTGCTGGGTTTTGTCTCAAGCTAGTGCACGCCAGCATTTTCCGTTGATAAGTCCGTTCTGCGACAATAACATGCTGCACACATCTAAGGTAAAACAAAGCCAAACAATACAAAATCAGAGGAAGTGTTAGCTGCGTCATTTTTTTTCAGACATCATGCATGTGTACGCCCTGTCCGCGGTGTGTATGCACGGGTACGTTGATCAAGCAATCAAGTAACCGTGACAGCATAGCCCGTGTGGTGTCGCGCTGCTATAAGCTTGAGGGCGCGGGGAGATTGCCGAACACGGCAGCCGCACTTCTATGGGGGCGAAATACAAATACCCGTTAACCAAGGTATATGTGCGCATTGGAGAACCTCAAGCGGTCACAGTTAATCCTGATACCCACACTGCACTTGATCCATGGTTTGATTTTGATTGCTCAAAACAATGAATCATTTCTTTCGATTCAATGGTTTTCTCTACAAGCTTTTAGGGGCGAAGCTCCTAAAAGCGTGGGTCGTGCGTGTCCTGTATGTAGTAGCCACGTCCCGTTTCTGTTTTGGAATATCTGCTAGATGGTGGTACTTGTATATGTTTTCAATATATGATGAAAAGATGTGAAATGGTGGTGCATGGAGTATTCACTAGAGGGATAGACGGATGGGCAGACGGACAGACAGACAGATTCACGGACGGAAAGACGGACAAATGGACGGACATGGCAAGCGGATGATACACGGTTTGCCGATAGAACCTTCAAAGCTTCGTTCCAGTCTTCATCATTCACTCCGTGGATATGCCGTAGATATTATGACCATAGGTAATTAGAAGACCATTAATATTAGAATGACCTACATCGGCAGACCACACCAGCATGGGAATCTAATTTGGGACCTCACGCACGTGAAGCAGATGTCTTCCCCATTGCACCACAGTGCCACGATTATTAGGGGCGAAGCTCCTTAAAGTGGCACCCGTTCGTCCCTCGTAGTAGTGCGTAACATGTCTTACGCTTTGACCTGCAAGCTGGTGCCGGTTGGAGATTGCTCCTATGCGTTGTTGAACAATGAAAAATTCGCAGCGTACGCGTTAACTCAAGCCGAACTCTCCGGTCTCTCATTCTTCATTACCAGCCATTGGCATGTACATCGAGCACTATCTGACGAGAAAGGGTTGCTACGTTATACTCGCTGGGCATAACCTCCTTAGTTTTAGAAAGGTTTAGCGAGCGTTGGGCCGCAGTGCCATGAATGCACAGTGAACTAGTATATACCATGAACTCGAGGTGGTTAAAGGTGGGAAGCAGACACGAAGCGCGAGCCGTACGAAAGTGTGCGTGTGCCACCTCTCGTTTAGTTCTTGGAATGTCCACTGGATGGCGGTGCTTCTATATGCGGAATATATGATAAAAAGATGCAAGGTGGTGGTACTTGGAGTGCTGACTAAGTGGACGAACGAACACACAGATGCATGGACGGACACAAAGGCGGATGCATGGATGAACGCAGGGACGGACGCGTGGATGGACGTGTGGATGCATGAACACACGCGCGCACGGACGGGCAGACGGACGCACGGACGGTCACACAGACGGACGCATGGACGGACGGAAGCAAGAACGAATGGACCGACGGATGCTTCGCCCCACACTCCATATCATTCACCCCGTGGATACGCTGCCATTTTTTTAATTGTGCTGTGGTTTCTGCAGGATCACAGATGCAGGACAGATAGATACCTCTGAATGGCCTTGGTGATGACAGCTAGCCCGGTCCATCAGCAAGGCTGTCGCTGTCATCACCAAGGCCGTCGAGTGTTGAAGCTTTTCGTTACACCATGCTGAGACGACAGAAAAACTATCATCATCATAACGAACAAGCACGAGCTCTCTTCGTTCGCTCCACCGGCTTCGTTCCCACAACACGTGCGCCAATCGGTCTAAAGAGGGGGGAGGATGAAACAAGCCTGATGGGTGAGAGAACACGTGCATACAGAAAAGAGGGAGAGATATAAACTAAGGCAAGAAGGACAGATAGAAAGAGAGAAAGACAGTAATAAACAGACAAAAACCAGAAATAAAAAAGAAGCGCAAGATGAAAAAGGAGAAAGAGATAGAAAAAGGAAGTGATAAATAGAGAGAGGTGGAAATAGAAGCAAGAAAAAGAAAAAGATACAAAGAGCGAGGAAGTAGTAGAGAGAGAGAAAGAAAAACTAAAAAAACATAGACAAAGGTCGAAAGAAAAAAACAAAGAAAAAAGAAGAAGAAAATGAAGCAAGAAGGAACGAGAAAAAAAAGCGCAGCATATTCACGAAGTGAATGATGGCGAGTGGCTGAAGCCCAGGGGGATCGTTAACACCCTTTCTATGTTTCTTTCTTTCTTTCTCTCTCTTTCTTTCTTCGTTTCTTTTTTT